TTTATTTTTCACTCTAACAGACAACTCTAATTTAAACAATTTCAAACGATTACATCGATTTGCATTTTGAAAAAATATTTTGACTTTCCACTATATGTACAAGGGATCAATCGAGGCACATTTGTATGATTTTAGTTAGTTGATTAAATATTTAAGTTTGAAATTTTGCAAATTTTTGAAAATTATAACAACATTCTTTGCAATCTAAATTACAATAGTTAAAAATATGGCTAGATTATTCCTTTGTACATATTACTGAGAATCTAAAATATTATTTTAGAATAAAAATCGCAATAATTGTTTATACGTATCGTTTGAATTAGGAACAGAAGTTAAAAAAAAAAAAAAACTGAGCATTCATAGGGCCCCTTAAGTTAGCTTTGATGGACTAATGATATGAATTAAATAATTAAATGTCATTAAAAAGAGCTTATCAAGTAGATACAAAATGTGAATTTAAAAATTAACTCTTTAACCGATAAAAAACCAGTCAATTTTAGCTAGATTTTTCTTTAGTAACGTAGATCTCTAAAACTGGAGAACATATTTTATCTTGTTAGAATCACATAGGATAGAAGAAGTGCAGTGAAGAATTTCAGACCTTTCAAAACCTATCTTTAATAGTTTATTCATTACAGACCTATTTAGTTGTATTTCATAAAAACATACACAACATATTTCTTAACAACTATTTTTCTAATGAAATAGTCTGGTTCAATTAAAAACACGGAGTAGTTTCAAAAGTTTTTATTTTAATTAAATTAAATTAATTACTTTCTGTGCATCTTATAATTAGCATTGTTTGTTTAAAAAAGTAACAACTTAACATTTAATGAAATATACACATCCAATTCTTACTAATTTTGTGTGAAACAAATGTCAGAAATCGAATGAGAACCAACATGATCCCCAATATTTGTATCATATACAATTTGGAAGACGATATACTTTAAATATATTGAAATTTATAGTTGTTTGTCCAAACAGAAAATAAAGCTATAGACCAGGGGTGGCCAACATGACTATGTACGCGAGCCACATGTATTAATAAAATTATATCAAGAGCCAAATTATCTAATGTGTACTTTTATACCACAAAAGTAATAAAGATAGCAAACAGCCGATAAACATATCAAATTACGATATACGAAATTATATTGTTTTTAATATAGTCTGTAGTCTGTGTTGAATAGTCCTATTGTAAACACCTCAATTTGTTTTGTAAAATATTTGTAATATTTGTAATATTTTACCGATACTTATTGCGAAAGTTACGATGTCAATTTCTAAAAAAGCGGTTAAACGTAAATATGAAGAAGAAAAAAATACCACGCAAACAAAATTAGCTTAATGTTTAATTTTTTAATTTATTATTCATATTAATTAATTTTTTTTTTTTGTTTGATTTAATCTATATTCTATCCACTATAATACTAAAGCCTTAAATAAATACAATAAAAACATTTTTTTTATAAATGTATACAAAAAAAATTAAAATATTTTGGTTTTTGTAAATAAGACCGCGAGCCGCATACGACTGTGACGAGAGCCGTGATTTGGCCACCCCTGCTATAGACTAATAGTCATGTTTTCCATATTGTAACTACAATAGTCTAAGCATAAACATCAACTATTACAAGAATTACTAAAAAGGTGTTATCCTAATGCTTAGTGTAGAATTTGCTTCAATATTTGAATAATTAAAATCAACTATAATAGTAAAAATTAACTGTATGTTTTCTCTATTTTATTCTTAGATCATATACACTGGATAGAGCTATGGTTTAAAATCTTGAAGCATAGCTATTCGTGCCCGAAGTCATCACTGCGCATGAGCAAAGTATATGATCTAAGCATTCAGTACCTAGTCGTCCTTATCACTATAACACATTATTGTTCCTTCTCCGTCCCGTGTGATCTATTTCATTTCTCACTCATGCACAATAAGTACTTTAGGCATGAACGGGTCTGCTTCAAACACGGACTACGCGTGATATACGCTATAGCTCTATCCAGTGTATATGATCTAAGATTTTATTCTTATACTAAAAAATAAATACATAAAAAAAATGTAAATAATATTATCAATAAACTAATAATTGAAAGAAGTTATATTTTATACATTTTACCAGGTTGTGCAGATTGTTAAGAAAACGAGAAACACAGTGTGTTGTTTGGGTTGTATACAGTGTGACAAAAGACCCCTTTTTTTATTTATATTTATATTTTCACACTGGTACTCTCTCTGGCGTGTCAAAATCAATGAAAACAAATCTGCACATACCACTTTTGCTCTTCGCCACAGACAACCTTCTTCGGTACATATAAACGACAAACCAATACCATGCTGCGACACAGTCAAATATCTAGGTGTAACCTTCGACAAACGTCTAACATGGGCTAAGCATATACATACAACAAAACTAAAATTAAATCAACGACTTTACTCTCTCAGACCCATTCTCGGCAAGTTCTCAAAATTATCTCTCAAAACCAAAATTCACATTTATAATCTTCTACTTAAACCTATCTGGCTCTATGGCATTCAAATCTGGGGCACGGCAAAAATATCAAACACACGAAAAATACAAGTGTTCCAATCAAAAACCCTCCGTCTCATAACCAATGCTCCACCTTATATTTCCAACCACACTCTGCACACAGATCTTCACGTTCCTAAAGTCACTGAAACAGCCAAGCTTTACTACAAAAAATTTAGGAATCGCCTCAAAAACCACACCAATCCCCATATGAAAAAGCTTCTATCTACCTCCATTCCAGATAATCCTCCTAGAAGACTCAAACGGCAATGGCCTAGTGATCTTATAATGTAAACATAATATGAATATTTAACACCCATATAATGTAAACTCATGCCGAAGTACCTTCACTGGATGGTTTCTTCCCCCAAAGACATCAAGCCATCACACATAATTTATAAAACCATACATTATGCCTATTGTACTTATTTGTATAGATTGTATAATTTTCTAGTTTACAAATAAAAAAAAAAAAAATTGATATTTAACACTGCAAATCCACTAAAGTGAAAGAATATTTGCAATTTAGTCTATACTACAAACACCACAAAAATTTGGATCATTTTCAACATGCTTTTTTTATTTTTGAAATTGGCCTACATCTTTTACTTTCTTTTTTTTGCGTCACACAATCTATACGATTTGAGTACAATAAGCGGCCTGCATCTCAACATAAATTATACAATAAGACTTTAATTGCTTATGATCTTTTTGTAAACACCTTAGCTTGCATACCTTAATTTGAAATACTCATACCAGACAAGCTCTACAACATTGTACGAATTTAAACCACTACCACACCAATTGTCTTCAAATGTAAATACTTTAAAGTACAATTTTTTCATAAAGTTAAAAATCAGCTGATTTTTAAAACGTACAGATATTGCTTAATTTTAATGATATTTCCATACAAATAATTTGAAATATTCATATTGATAATTAAGAAATAGTAATAATTTAATACAAATACCCCAGTTAAACCATGTATTATCCACACAAATTCACTAACACAGACTGATACTTATATTATTTTTATTGTAAAAATCTAATCTTAGTTGCAAAATTATTAAGTACCTATAAAAAGGGTTATTACTAGGGCTGTGAATTTAATGCACTAAAAAATCTTAAAAAATGCATTAAAAATGTCAAAAATATGCAATAAAATATGCACTTCAAATGCAAAAAAAAAGGAATATAAAATGCCAAAATGTATAGCATAAAATTTATAAAAATGGTTTTTAATTTAATTTTTATATTAATATTAATATTGGATACAGGATATTAAACATAAGTACAAAAAAGTGTTCAAAAAGTGTTTAAAAAAAAAAAAATGATAAAAATGTTGATTGAATTTGATTTGACGATATGCCACAATAACTTATCTAAGTTATCTAGTTGTCTAGCAATTGCCTTATTTTATCGAATCGTTATCTTTACCTAACCCATATATAGTGTGTGACTTATGTAAAATATTATTTAATAAAATATAAATTTAACATAACATATACAGCCCGTGTAAAATAAAAAAAAAAATGTTTTCAAACAAGTCAATTGACGGAATTTGATTAAAAATACTAGTAAATGAACTAAAAAAGCAAAAAATGACCTAAAAATGCGAAAAAATGACCTAAAAAATTAAAAATACAAAAATATGCAAAATAAAAGTTTCATAGATGGATTCATTATTACATAATTCAAATTATGTACTCACAAAGCTATGTTTAACAATCACCAAAAAAAAATGCACTTTCCTATGAATTCACAGCCCTAGTTATTACAATTTGGTCTTACTAATTTTGTTGTAAATAGTATAATAAACACAGTAGATATTATTTTAATTCAGAGGAAAGCAGAGAAATTCATCTTTTTTTATAATAGTGGATGTACCTAATGTATAATACATTAATCAACACTTAGGTATTTTCAGTGGGGCAAATGATACTTTTATAACCTCATGCAACATCCAAATTATGCCACTATCAGAACATCAGCACATCATATAACCAATATTAACAATTTTCTTAAATTATCATTTTACTATAGTTGGAATGATAGTTTAATTTTATTAAGTAGGCATGTTTGCATAAGCCACATTTTAATGGTTCATTTTCAAAAAAAAAAAGCTTCATAGCTTTTATATGAGTATAGAAACTAGAAATTCCTGTTACAATCCTTTAAAACAGAAATCAAAATTGGACTTTTAAAAAAGATGAACACAGTTTATTTAAAGTCATTAAAAAAATAATATATGTATATATACAGTCAAAACTCTTTATAACGAATCTGAAGGGACCAAGAGATTTCTTTCGTTATAGAGAGTTTTCGTAATAGAGAGGGTTTAAAAAAAAACAAAATTTTAATTATTTATGTATAAAGGTATGTAATATTATATATCAAACACATCATTATTTTTACATTATTTTATATATATTTACGTATTGTATTAATTTATTATTATTATTATACATACTTATTAAATATAATTTAATTTTTATACTATACATATTTATAATTCATTTAAAATAGTCTGTCATCTTAGTTTGGACTTTTTTATTTTGCCAATATTGTTTTTGTATTTTTCTATGAATTTCTCCCATGTTTTGGTATAACTTTGGATCATCTTCATGAAACAATAAGTACTTTTCTAATAATTTAGCCGCATCAAGTGCTTGTTGAATACTTGGTATTACGACTTCGTCAGGTTGTGCTTCCTCTTCATCTTCCTTTTGCTCCTCCTCGCCTTTTGTCACTTCATTTAGGATTTCTTCATCAGTTAACGATATTGTTGTAACTAGATTCTCGTCTATTTCTACATAGTTTTGTAGGTCCTCAGGAGTCAAAGTATGCGGAGTATTGAACTGAGTAATCCACTCACTCAGTGTATCATCTTCATTCTCAAATTGTTCTATTTCTTCTTCAGCATTTGCAAAACTTCGAAGTCCAGCATGACGAAAAGAATGCCGTATAGTTTCTGATGTTACCTCTTCCCAGGCTTTACTTAAGAAGTTCACCGCATCAAGCATATTGATAGAGGCATTGCCATCAGATTCGATAATTTCCCTTAATATTTTCTTTCTATAGTGGCCTTTCAAACTTTTTATAACACTTTGGTCCATCGGCTGTAAGATACTAGTTGTGTTAGCTGGGAAAAATATCATCTCTATGTTCATAAGATTAGATAGATTGGGATGAGCAGGACAATTATTCACGAGTAACAAAACTTTTCGCCCTTTTAATTCTGCATCCCATTTTCTTATTTCTTCTTCAAAAAGTATTGATGTCATCCACGCTGACTTATTTGCTTTATAAGTGACTGGCAACCGTTTAATATTTTTAAAACATCGCGGGTTTTTTGATTTGCCTATTACCATAATCTTTCTTTTTTCAGTACCACTCATATTGGCTGCTACAAACGCAGTGATACGTTCTTTAGAAAGTTTACCTCCCACGCATTTTTCCCCTTTGAATTTTAATGTTTTATCTGGGGTCATTTTGTAAAAAATACCTGTCTCATCAGCATTAAAAATATTATCCGGAGTGTACTTTTCATTCAATTTTGGCCACACATTAATTAACCAGCTGTTAGTAACATTCAAGTCGACATTTAGTGCTTCTCCGCTTATTTTCCCATAGGTAATATTGTGACGTTGTTTAAATTTTCCAAGCCATCCTTCCGAGGCCTTGAAATCTATAATACCAAGTTGTTGAGCAAAATGTTCAGCTTTAGTTTTCAAAACAGGCCCAGATATAGGTACATTATTACAACGTTGTTTATGGAACCACGTTAACATGGCCTGGTCCAAGCCTTTAAATTTCGGTTTCCTTATTTTTTTACAAGAACTTCCTTCTGTTTCAGCATGCAATATTTTATCCTTATTCTTCCAGATAGTAGCGACAGTAGATGGGCTAAAACCAAAACGTTTCCCGACATCACTTTTTTTTTCACCTTTTTCAATCGCACGTATTAAAGCGACTTTTTGATCAACACACAGTGCTTTTCTTTTACTTGCCATAACGAATGTTAGCGCACTACTGTGGTCATGTGTATAATGTTAGACATTACGTCGATAATAAAATGAACATGGTACCTATTAAATATCGATAATAACGATATTAAAAGTAGATAATGAAAGAATGTAATCGTTCTTGGAAATGCCGGCATTATTGCCGATTATTTTTATAGTTTATATATGTAAAAGATACGATAACACGTAAATTGTATTATGAAACATAAAATATTGTTTCGTTATTGAGAGTGACTAATACGTTATAGAGAATGAATTGTCTAATGGGTTATATAGCAAACCAACCATTATTATGTAATTTTTATGTTATATAGTGTTTTTCGTTGTAAAGAGTTTCGTTATAAAGAGTTTTCACTGTATAATAATAATATTAGCATTCAAACATTACTTTATTTCCACAATACCTATGTATTATTAATAGTAATTCATTTAGGATCTAAATTTTAGATATTAGATCTCATAGAACATTATGTTTTTAAAAGAATAAATAAAAATAATAATGTGAACAAATAAGAAGAATCTAAATGATAAAATTTATCTCTTATGATCAGGATTGTGTTGATATTTAAAAAGAACCCATAAGAATCTTAAACTTCTGAAAATACAAAATAATGATAGTACCTATTACAAGCTATACTACTAAAATAATTTAGTATTGGGTCCACGCCAAACAAACTTAAGGTTGGCAACTCTACCCTTAGCCAATGTTGGAAATACATACGGTTTATGATGGTGTTCACATACAAAAACCATGAACTCAAGTAGCATATACTTAGTTAAATAAAGAGCTAATAATAAATAGAAGAAAATTAATTTTTTATCTCAATCCAATACAGTCCAACCTTAGCTTAAAATCTAAAATAGTTTAAAAGATTTCACTTATACTACTCGACGACTTTAACCTAACAGAAATGCTTCTTCCTAGAAAACTACAAGAATAATCATCTCAAAAGATATTTTTTTTAATATAATATGACAAATTTTAATTTCAATATTGAAATAGATATCAAACAATTTTCATGGATAATTTGTGATTGAACTTGATAATGATAATTAGTCATTTATTAATAATTAGTTGTATAAATTAAATGAAAAAACTTCTGTATGAGTTATAAAATAATAATTGGGAAATGTCTGACATAATGAACAATACTATTTTGTCTACTATAAAGATGAGGTTTTTTTACTTCTTGTGGGTGTGAGAAAATTGAAAGGGTTCAACTCAATTTTCCTAAGTATGCAGCTTTTGGTTTAAATATTGACAATCCTCCTCATGATTATTGTCCAGTTATGCACAAGCTGGGTTTAAATTTCTTAGCTGGTAGGAGGCAAATTGCTAATCTTAATAGCTAAAGAACTCATCAGTAGAAGGCTCACTTGGCGTAACTCTTTTTTAAAGCAATAAATATTAAATGTTAGTAGTATCACAACAATATTACATACTTAAATCCCTTGTGAATTCAATTTTTTATTCTAATCTATTTATTACACTTGCTTTCATTGATGATTTTTATTTATAGTTTATTGATAACTGGCCTAACAAGAAGTTCTTTTTAAAATTTTATTTTTAGTAAATAAATGCATATTTAAATAATAAAGTTCAGTATACATATTAGCCAGTCACCCATCATATTATAACATATATTAATTAAGTCACTAACATACAAATTTACAATATTTACATCAATGAAGAGAAATATTTTCTAAAATTCCAATACATTCCATTGTGTGCTTGACATAATATTTCTTACCTGGATATTTGCATTGCTTCAGGAGGACCTTTAAGACCACCAGTATCTTCATTTAGCAAAACCTTTAAGCAGTTCAATAGCTGCATGGGATCAATCGGTGGCTGAAATTAGAAAAATTCATGATTTAATAATTTATTATGAATTAACATTAAATTTTAAAGGTTTTATTCTAATATTGATTGATAAAATATATATATATATAAATTTAATATACCTATTATATTTACTGAGTTAATTCTTTTTTGTACATGTAAATATGAATATTTATTGATCGTTTAAAAAGGTTTTAAATATTTATGATCATTAAAAAAAGTATTGGTTCCAATCTGGGTAGGTATATTATAATATATTAATCAAAATATACAGATAGACACGAACAACAGTTTATGAATGTAATCTATAAAGTATTATGTTACTAAATAAGAAATAACTAACAAAATTATAGAAGAATGGCCTATTACTTTACATATTTCAATTGAAATACACTTTATTTCATTAGAAAAGGTCCCTCAAATATGATTTAATAGCCCATATTATTGGGTCCAATACATTTTATTGAACCATTAAATTAATCATTTTTTGCATGTAACCTGCCATTAATTAATATGAGACCATATTGTTTGGGAATAGAATGACTAAATATTTAATTTAGAATTTATTTTTCAATTAGTTGAGATATCTCACCAATATCTGTGATTTGATCAAAAGGGCAAAACATATTAATAAAAATTGTAATTGTATTTTATAAAAACAATTATTAGTAAGCCGTGTTCCAATGAATATATAACATGACTCATGAAAGCTTAGATAGTCTTACGATATCTTAACCTAGGTAATGAGGGGAAGGGGAGTAAACTATTGCGGTGACTGTCGAACACACACAAGTCTAAGAAGTTAGATGGTATGTACCAGTAAAATGTTATTTCTTTTTTATGGACGTTTTTTTTATAATTAAATTGTTATGAACTTCGTACGCAATTAACTTTACTTGACGAAATTAAATACAAATTCAGCTTCACCACATAATAACGAATATACTCGCAATAAGCCCCACCAAACCTCCATAGTACTGTACAGTGATAGTGGAAAAAGGATGATCGATGTTAGGACTGATACAAGTGTGGGAATAAAATGTCTCATTGTAGTACGCGAAAATGTATACGTCACCAATCTTCAGCTATAATAACGATCGTAAATACGTCAGCAAGTCGATTGCAAGTGACGTAACAATAACATATATGCCGTCGACACTGCTACTATTTACATTCAAAAATTAAGTGGAATACGAATATCAATGAATATCACAAGTCATTGCTTAGTATATATACATTATTTTTTCCTTCATTTCGTTCAAGGAACGGCCACAACCCATTTCGGGTATTTCAGCTCGGATTCGTAGTGAAAAGGATACAAAGGAATACATTAGCAAATAAATAAAAACACAATTAAAACTATCACTGTAGACTGTAGTACCGTTTTTATACAACGTAAAAATTATATCTTAATTTTCCTAAACGGATCGGACTAGTAATAGTGTTCTATTAAAACCATAATACATAGTCATTTGAACCGAAGGTCAAATAATTTTATAGGGCAGGTCAATATAAAGCCCGTTAACTTACCATGGCGTTTTTGTTGTGCGTCTCTGTACGTACAAATACGATTTATACAATGGTTTGGCACAAAATTCTTTCTTTCTCTTTCACAAAAATAAGTGTCGTAATTTAAAAATACTAAACGTCGATATCGTATTTGCGTTTTTTTATATATTTTCCTGTCTGTAGGAAAGCAGTAAAAATAGAAATAAAATTAATTTAAAATCGATCGTCCCGACGGCGAATGGATGGTGCCTGGCGTGCTATGTTGGCGTACGTGGTGGACATAAATGCTTGACGCTTGTTGTTGACGCTACTCCACGTGAATGTGAATCCGTATTCCGTGATTACAGTTTCGCTGATAAACAGCACAAAATGGCGGACCGTATCGCTATTAACGACATCGATTGGTAGGCGCATTGCCGCCGTGGTAATAATAAAACAATTCCGTCATCGTTGCCCTCTTTGTGTACGCGGCGCTGGCCTTCATTTAGAGAGGTTTTTGGGTTGTTCTTCTTCCGCCGGCGGTCCGTCAAAAATGTTTCGGACAAAAAAAAAACAATCTTATACGCTATTACGCACTGCTGGGTGAGCGCAAAGCAAGGTATGACGATAAATAATGTAAAAACGGAAATAAAATGAACTAGAAAACTGTTGTCGAAACACTGACGACAATCTCGAGCAGTCGAGCGTAGCCTCGAGAAAGAGAGAGAAACACGTCGACGCAGCAACAGCACCGGACGACCTGTAGTGATGAAGGGCGATAGCAATAAATATAAATATTGTTTTAACGATAAATGCGCGGGTAGAGCGTTTACGGCAATGGCAAAACAATTTGTCGTCGTTCCCGTGCCCGTCGGTCGAAACGTAGTCTACGCAGCAAATTGTTGATACTCGTTTCCTTGCCGTTATGAGTTCTGTTGACCAAATGGATCGCACGTCCAACTGCAATATGGCTGCGACACTCGACAAACTGCGACGTACACTCAACAACGTAACTATATATACAGTAGTTCACCACACTACCACTGGAACTGTACTCCGTACTTCTGTAGTTCTGTACTGTGCTGTAGTCCGTAGTTGGTAATAGCCACTTTTTACTAAATAGGAACTAGGCAATAGCCAATAGGCATTAGGCTGACTGGCAACTTCCAACAGTGCCAACTACAAATAACCGAACTATCAGAACACTGAATTCTACAAAACTCGAGTGATCAAGTTGGTAATACATGTGTGCATGGTCTAGTGTGGTAAGGGAAGGGATGCGCGTTTGACTTGAACAGTTTGTAGTTAACGTCAGAGTGGCGGCCAACTTATGCTCAGGGGCGTGGCTTCAGAATATGACATGCAATGCGCAGATGGTTGACTCGACGGGGGGGAGGGGGTGACCCTACGACGGACGAACGTTGAACGTTGAACGTTCAGTCTTCACTCTTCAGTGTTGACGGTTGGCGTTAGGCCTCCAACCTCGGCCAGGGGTTACAGACATAATCTTTTATCTGTGGGGCCAAGGCCATGTGGTATGTAGTGTGTTTCTTAGAATAGTGACACCGACTTGTGCCAACGGGATATGTTACCAATGATGGACCGATGAAATTTAGTGTGTATCGAGTAATCAAAGAGTACATAATAATATGCTAGAAATTCACCCTGAAAAATCGATGAAAACACTGCTCCGGGACACAATGGACACATGCACTATTGACATGGCTCATTAATTTCCCGGTGTGGAATATTTTTATACTAACCAACGAATTTCTTAATGCAGTGTACCACTACTAGCAAAACGCACAGATATAATTATATATGACGAAATGTACCGAACCATATCGGAGATTGAACTCGAACTTAGACCCGACGAGCTAGTTAGTTATATCATTGATACGACTTTACGAGTCTGTTCGTAACTACTTAATGACCAATTTTTCTAGAAAACTGATAATATCTTCTTTTCATCTTGGCACCAAAAATATTAGAATACCTGATTACCAGTACAGGGGATTGTGGACACAATTTTTCGAGTTGAATGTAACCAAAAGCCACCAATTGTCCACCGAGCCAAAACTCGGCAGTCGAAACGCTCCATCAAGTCATCCATAGAATAAAAATAGTAGGCATAAATCCAAGTAGTAAGTACCAAACCGTCAAACGTCCTTCAACCGTGGTGGCGACCGGTAGAGGTCAACAGACGGCGCGTCCACAGTGTGGACACCTTCAAGTACCATTAAGCTATGTGCAATAAGATAATTCATGTTTATCGTAATAATATTGGCCATTACATAGCCACAATTATACAGTGTGGTACGCTTTTCTGTCGCGTTGGTCGCACTGGGAAGATACTTATCAATAGCAAACTTCTGCAAAACATCCGTGGACCCGCGGTGAATGGTGATAGACCTTGTCTGTGTCGGTATAATAAATTAATAATAATCCGTGACGTTGACTTACGACGATAACGTAATCGCTTGAAATATATATTGCCAATGGAACAGTTTAACAATAACATCCAAACATCGTCGTACGGCGTTCGTGACGTAAGCACGTAACATCGTCCCACTTCCAATCGAGTTCGGTTAAAAAAAATTTTACCATAACGTTTACCCGGATCAGTTTCTGTTATCTATCGTCGATTATACTGATATTAGTATAAATACTATATTAGTATTTAGTTCACTCCCGACGTTGGTTAGCGGAGGACGGTGGCTGATTGCTAGGCGATAATTAATTACCATTTACCACGTATCTTGAGAACATATTGCTCATACAAAATTGACCATGGACCGAGATTCAAAAAAACTATTCCATAAAGTTATCGTCGACTTATTATGCTTAGGTTCAGGTAAGAATTTGTCGTCTCACTTAACGTATCTGACATGTTTGTAAAAACAATATTATGCATGTACCTATACAAATTCTACATCATATTTTATAGGTTGTACAATTACAAAACAGCTTAAATAGTTTTTTTCGCTTTTTATAATAATTACTTCAAACGTTTAACATAAAGTTACCCACATTTTCTAGATTGTAAATTGAGCACAAATTACCCGTACTCCATATAGGTAATTTCTGGAAACTTCTAAGTACTTGTTTTATAGAGAACAGTTTTAAATCGGAGCGGGGAAGAGTAAAAAATGTAGGTATCGTGGCTGAAATAACACTTGCCTATAGGTACGTTAATATTATGTTCTATTTGTCAACTGTGGCTTCGGTTCCTAAACGTTGGATTTGTTACTTATTTAATCTCATATTTATGGTAAAAAGCTCAAGCTGTACGGCGGCACATATAGTTAAATACTTAGTTTGGCAATAAACAATAATAAAGAAAAATTATTTTTTTGCAAATTTTAGATTCTGAGTGAAGCTGAGATTTGTATTTTTTCTTCTGTGTCTAAGGTTTAAAGACACTTTTTCTACTATTGAAAATGCTCTGATCAACAAGTTTGATATATTTGAATACAATTGGATCTAGTTGGTACTTTTGAGATGTCAAAATTGAAAATTTTGAACACTTTTAAAAATATTCAAGAAACATTAAAAAAAAAAAAAAACCACATTTATGAAAATGTAAATATTATTATAATAATTGGTAACCAAAAAGTTAGTCAGTCTCCTCTCAGAATCGTTTTTTCATCATATACCATAATGATTTACTATTGAATTCAAATTTAACATATCCAATATCCATTACAGTGCCTACTCAATGACGACTGACGAGGTGCATTCGACTCCTAGACCGAATAACTGGGCGGTTACCTACTTCCCCCTTTAAAAAAATAATATCCAAAATATTGAAGTCTTTCAGTATTCAGTTAATATGTTTTTTTTTTGACACTACCTAGTTGTTTGTTTTACACAATTGATTTTTTGTCGACGAGTCAGATTTCAAATATTTACGAAACTGTCGAAACTCTTAACATAATTACTTATTAGTAATTATGTATCATGTTTATATACATAGTAATAAAGTATATTAGATTTTATAAATTTAGTATTCATCTAATACCTACCAAAATCCTCAATCGTTAAACCGTGAGTCAACCATGCCACCATGGTATAATAACTTTATGTGATGTTCCACCCATGCCGAAGAAACGCCTCAAACCAACCCAATACCATACAATTAAAATATATTTATTACAAATCTATTTACATTTTGGAATGTACTCTCGTATTTTTATCTTGATGATTCATTGATTTCTTAAGGTGAGCCTGGAATTTAAACAGACGATTATTGAGGTAATATATGCCTATAGGTTTTCAACCAGTGCACTTCGAAGTTTTTTTTTAGAATTAATAAAAATTTAATAATTGCCTAATAAAATGTGGGTAGAAAGTTTGTGACGCTCGTATAGTAGGTTGCAAGTGGGTCACTGCAATGAATGGTGTTAAATTTGAATTCAATGATAAAATATCGTTTTACACGAAAAACAATTCTGAGCAGAGACGGTTTGTCAGTCTAGGATATTTTATATAATATTTATATTATTATTATTAACAAATTAGCTGGTAAGTTAAATTAATATTAATTCAATACTATCATATTATCATATTTGTTCATAATAATGTACTTAAAAAGTTTCAAGTACCCACAAATAATATTTTTAAATTACAAAAAAAATAACTAAAATCGTTATTCTTGGTTATTTAATATGTAATTTCGTCCAAATTTGAACCTAAAGTACCCGTAAAAAACTGATTATACATTTTATAGATTTTTGGTTACAGAATTAACTAATTACGCAGAACCTTGTTGTAACTAGCCTTAGCCTTAACCATAAAAGTTAAACATTTTATAAATTTAATATAAATGTTGTCAAAATATAAAATTAAATATTTTTCAACTGCTATTGTAACCATATATCAGGAACCTTAAATGTTCAAGCTTTTTGACTTAATGAATAAAATTGCATTGACATTTTCAGAAAAAATTAACTAATGAAAATTTTAAATCTTTAAAAAACGGTTCAAAATGAGTTAAAGTATTTTTAAATTTTATCGAGTACAGGAAATGATAAAATAAACATATGATGTAAATATAAATTATCTTCGGTCATTCCTTTTTTTATTTACAATAAGAAAACCGTTCCATTGGAAATCTAGCGAATATACAATGTTGTACAAATTTGAACTTCAGGCGCTCATAAAAATATTATTTGGCTTTCCGATAGATTTTTTTTAATAAGGGTTGAAAAACGTATCATGATTCTTGTATTTTATTTTCAAATGTTAGATACAAAAAAACAATTTTTATGAATTTCTAACTCAAAATAATTTGCAGATGTTCGTGATTTTACGAATTTTGTCAAAGTTCTAGCTTGAGACGCCCACAAAAAATTATTTTGTTTTTCTGGGTTCTTTTGAAAACTTCTGGGAATTTTAAATGTTAACTTTCTGAATGTACCAACTTGATATACTTTTCCAACGGAAAAGATACTGAAGTTGAAAATTGAAGAATTATTTCGACTTCTTATCGGTACACCGACACAATAAAATTAAAATTATAAAAAGACATATTATCATTGAAAATCAATACATTCGTCTCTCATATCTAAACGGGCTTAATGAAAAAGTTACTAGCTGTGACCTATTTTTAAAAATGTTGAAAACCCTACGAGCTTTTATAGGCAGTACATGATATAAAATATGTGCATAATAATTGTGTTTCGGATAAAGACTGTGTTCATCTTTTTATGTCACTTTGTAGATTGCATAATTTGATTATCGCATTTGTATTTATTTTAGTCACATAATATGAGACGTGAATACACGTGACTACTACTAACACTTGTTTTAGAAAAAATGTATTTTGTTTTATTGTTGTAATCCAGAAGAGAATCTTGTGGACTCACAATTTTCACCCAACATTTCTAGAAGCATTTTTTATATCATGATATACAAAAATATTGTTTTATTGTATTCCACAACTCTTTTTTTATATATTACATAAATACATGAAGTTGCTGTTCTCTCATACCCACCTACTTATATTATACTGCCCCGTGTTCACATTCACAAATTACACATATTACTTATCGCAAAATGTCAACCGACTTATGCTTCTATATTTAACTAAACTTATCTGTAAGTACAATTTATGTATTAAATATGCAGGTTTCCGATGAAGGAAGTCAAATTATCGTAAACCAAAAATTGGTATTGGTAGTCGTAGTTCCTTAAAACCATAAAACACCATACGCACCAAACTGTAGTATCCTACTCTCGTACAATGCATATTTTATTTCTCGTTTTATATTGTATATTTTGCTCTATAGCAAAATAGTAGTGTAAATGATGCATAAGAATAATCCCTCGCTCGTACTATCAAAAAGTACATACATATGGCTGTGATTGATAAATCGACTAATCACTTGCAGCATGATGCAAATTGCACGTGGGTGTGTGCATGAGAATAACACGAGGTCTTAGGAATTATAATTGACACTTTTAATCCAATTTAAATTTAAATACTATATGTACCATATTAAATATACTAGCCAAATGCCTGCAAATTATTATTACATAATAATCAAATTTCTTTTAATTATTATAAGTTATAATAACTGATTAGTTAGATTCTTAAATTTGTAATTGTATGATGTATATATATATATATATAATATATATACATAACTTACTAGTAGGAATGTATATAGTAGTATATATATATGATATATAGATAGGTGCCAATGTTTAATATTTGTTTTAATTCTTTTACCTTGTACCTTTTCTTTATTATTGGTGGCTTACACTGCAACTACTACACAAACATATTTTGAATGGGATTTTATAGATGTAAGAAATTATAGTATGACATATTTATAAATTAATTTATCTTTATAAGACACATTTAATTGAAGAATCGTTTTTTTTAACATTTATTTTGAAAATATTCAATCTGTAAGGTTAGTTTACAATAGGTATATATGCTGTGTTTATGTGTTTTTAAGTGAGTTTAAGGAACTACCCAACAGTAGTACTTATGGCGTGAGGGGAATAATCCTAAATAAATTATCGGACAAAATTATAAGAGGATTAAATCTTGTTCAGTAGGTAATGTCTTATAGATATTTGACACTATTTTTTTCGGATTTACTAATAGTTAATGATCAGTGGTCGTGTAAATTGGGATCGGACGGGACTCCCGAAATCTTAGCCCCCTAAAACAATGCACAAACGGCTTAAGTACTGTATAGGTAAATATACTGTCTATTTATGTACAAACTTAATATATTTCTTTTGAATTTCTCTTACGAGGTTAAACCATAGCAGAAACTACCGATAAACAAATCGAGGGGACCCCCCCCCCTTCAAACATTTTTTGGTTACTTTTTTTCTTGAATACTTAGGTACTTATTTTTTGGATATTTTTTATTTTTTATTAATTTTTTCCTAATAAAATAGTAATATTATGCATTATGTTTCTAATGTATTAAAAAAAAAAAAAAACAAAAAAATGAATATATTTTTTTTAATTTCCTAATGCAGTTTGAATGATGATAAGTGATAACTTTTAAAGGTAAAATTATTTTGCAAAGAAGGAGTAGCTCTGGTTATATTTTGAATTATATGCTGCATAATTTTGAAATTACGCCTTTGCATACAATTATTTATTGAAATTTAATCCGTTAAACGATGGTTTAAATTACATATGATGAGGTATTGTATCTATTAATGGTATTGTTTTAATTTAACGCAAAGAATCTATAACGTTTTGTGTACATTTTTACAAAACGAAATAAACCTATAATTTTATGCGACATTTTATTACACCTATATTATACATATTTAATCTGTATAACGTTTTAAAAATAAATACTTATGGTTATATTGTATAAAAAGGCCATGTTGTATAACAAAACTCAAAAATACGACAAGTAATTAAAAAAACTATTATTATTATAATAAATAATGATAAATACAAAGCCGAGACATAGAAACTAAATTAAAATGTTCCTAGCTTGGATAAACCTTATAACAACCTTTTTTGCTACACATTTTGTATTTATATACATTAGTCATTGGGTAATGTAATATTACCTGCATAAAAATATTTTTTTTTTCCCAGTTGGATTTCCAGTATTGATGTTTTATATGTTTGGCTCTCCGTATCAAAGAGGATTCTTCTGTGGCGATGAATCTATTCGATATCCATTTAAAGAATCAACAGTTTCATCAAGTATTTTATATACAGTGGGATTAGGACTACCCACATTAGTAGTAAGTAATAATTTACTGAAAAAGGTTTCCAGACGTTTTGTCCATGTCCATTAATATCAGTAAAATGCATTGGGTTACAATATTCGCAATATTTTGTGAATAACAAAGTAGAGAGTTGATTATTAAATGTTATTCACGGTACCTACATATTATACATAGTTGTTTCATTCGGTAATATACGATTGAGCGAATTTTACCTTTTTCATAATATTCCTCACGTTTTGACGGGGCAATAGAATATACATATTTTGTAAGATATATGTATTAATATATTATTTGTACGATTCCACGTAAAAAATATTGTGATGTTGCGAGATTAGGTGCAATATCGTGTAAGCACTGGACTGAATGTTTTAAAAAACTTAGGTTTTAACCGATAAAAGTTTAATTTAGTTGATTGTGATTGCCATTTGTTGATAAAATTATGTTATCCAATTTCGTAAGTTAAGAAGCTAAACATATTTTCTAGTACACCTCCATTTTATCAAGTTGTTTTTTCTTTTATTAATTTACCGATATTTAAAATTATTAAAAGCCTAATTTTCTTTTTTCTGATACAATTGACGATTAAATACAAGTAAAATGACAAAATAATTTTTCCTGTACCTGCTTGAATATAGATTATTTAAAAACGATTGACATTTAAATAATATAGTATATAGTTAATTGTTGATTTCCAATAAAAAATGTAAGGTTTGTTTATTTCTATTCTACTCCCTGTAACCCAGGGGTTTTGCGAACTTGAAATTTTTCAGAAGCTACCTAGTCTAATATTACACCCACCTTGGAGCACCAATAACCCGATAAAGGCTCATTCAGTGTCATAATATTGTAACTGCCCACGGACTATCGTAGTAGTAATTAATTATTACTAAAATAGTTAGTACTATAGTATATATATATATATATATATATGGTATATACTATATATCTATAGATTGTCACTTATTGGTGATTACCTAACCACCACCCTTTTATGAAACTCAACCTCTCGATTGTCCCCTTCGTCACCTCACTAACTGACGACTGTTCCTATACATATCACATCAGCGTTCATCAATATCTTATGAGATGTTGTGTGCGTATCATTATATTTTATTCATAGATTTTATTTTTCTACAAAATTTGATTTGTATGTCCAGATTTATTTATTTTGGCTTTATATATACGGTTATTTACCAAGCACACTCCTATTTTTTCGAACTTACGAGTTTAAATTGTAGTATACCTACAAACTACTTAAAATCAATACTTTCAAAGCCTAAAATGTGTAGATATAATTTAAGAAGTGTTCTGTAACAAATGTTGTGAAACCATATTTTTTTATTGTTAATTGTTAAGAATTTAATTTTTCTGAAAAAATGTTATGGATACCTAATTGAAAGTTGAACTAGCATAGTTATTGACTTATTAAACTTAAATACTAATAGGATAATAGCCGTCTTTGATAACAGCATTAACATGTTTAAATCGCGAGCTATAATAATAGCGATGATTTTAAAATTATAGTAATTATTAATATTATTTTTTACAATGTTATAATTTGTAAAAATTGCCAGTGTATATTAATAACTATAGGCTAAATATTACAGATATTTTGCATTTTATATAAAATTATTATTGAGCACTATTATCCTTAGTATATAAAGTTAGATTAGTAGAAAAATAATCGTTTAAATTTCAGTTCAGGTGCGTCATCATTCATTTTTAACAAATTCATCCAAATATAACAATTTTCAATAACCTTAAATTATAAATTAAATCTAAGTACTTGACAATATAGTCTAAATTCTAATCATCATAATTTGAATAAATGCATACAGGAAAAAAGTAATGTGAGCGTGCTTGCCGCTTGGTGGACCACCCTGTACGGATTACAGAAATATTAACTATCCTTATTTGTGTAATATGTTGTTGTTATACCAATCGTACATTTCACAGCTCCAAATCTTGAAACCTACGTGACAACGAACTATATTTATATATCCGAGTCATATATATTTTTAGTTGGTCTAAAATTCAACATTAAGTGTTATTTTTGACTATATAGATGCACGTACTATAATAGTAGTCGATAGGTACTAAGTACTAGTAATAAATATTCGCATAATATGTCTGAAAACAAATCCTACATTTAAAAGTTATAGACTTTTCAACTTATGAACTATCATTTGTTATAACATTTATTGACTTATAGACATTATTGTATAAGAAAATGGACCAAACATCTTGAAACCACTTTAAAATGTTTAATAAGTTATAATCGTATAATTACTACTTTAAAAATATTCATAGATTTTATTTATTGAATATTCACTGCGAAACAATGAACAATCCCGTTATTCGTTATTGGGAACACCTATTCCTAATTGGCTGTATTCCGTGTACAACAATATATTATGGTTTTTATTTGGAGCAGCTTGTTCACAACTAACTACAGATATTGGTAAATATACAATAGGAAGATTGAGACCACATTTTTTAGACATTTGTAAGCCCAACGTGGACTGTACTGCTGACATCTATGAAACAAAATACATCGAAGATTTTACATGTCTTGGAAAAAGACCCAGCAAATTTACCGATAGTAGATTATCATTTCCTTCTGGGCATTCTTCATTATCTTTTTATGGTATGGTTTACTTAGCGGTAAGTGTGGATTTATTTTTTTAGAATATTATATTTCAATTATTTAACAATTGTTTTACATGTATAACATTAGCTATATTTACAAGCCCGAGTTAAGACATCTAAATATGGAATGGCAAGAAGTTTAGCTCAATTTGTGGTTATTTTGATGGCAGCGTTTTGTGCACTATCTCGAGTCAGTGATTATAAACATCATTGGAGTGATGTATTGGCTGGAACAATTTTGGGAATTACCACTGCTACTATAACTGTAAGCCAAATGATCAATTGTAATAATAAAAAAAAAATTTTCAAAAGGATAAAATGTAAAGATTAATGTCGACATTTCTCAATTTACACCACTTAACGTTTTTTGTATAAATACTTAATTTTAAAAAAAAATGCTGTGGTCTTTCAAGATAAATAAATTTAATTTTTAATATTCTTCTATGTTTTATGGTAAAAAAATGAAAAAAAATTATTTATTTGATTAATATGCTATTAAGTTAGTTTGTATACTTGTTAGATTTGTTTACATTATGTATACGTATATGAATTAATGGAAATGTTTATGGTAATAAGACAATAAATATTTTCAAATTTATGATTATTTTTTTTTATGTTTCGCAAGATCGTAATTTATAACAAGTCTGCTTACTTTTAAATTCCAAGTGAAGCGAAAAAGCTATCGTTGTTGCCTTATTATGGTGGTTTAATTCAAAACTAATTATTACTAATAACTGACAACTAATAACAATGAGTAATAATCAACAATTAATTGGGAAATTATCACTTATTATCGATAAATAATTTTTAGTTCTGCCATAACTACAAAACCTATAAAAAAAATTGTATTTTTTAATTTATCTACTATTTTTAAGATTCTTTTAAGGAAATAAATGTTTCAAAAGTTTCATTTTAATATTCGATTTATAAACTATAGTGATGGACTATAACGGTCATATAGATTATTGTTTCAACCAAAATGTACAATAAATATTAATGAATTTAATTGATTTTTCCAAATATATTGGAAATAGGGAGATGGTATAATAGTATAATATGCTATTAGATACTTATAAATTGAATAACACTAAAGAAACAATTACATAGACCTAACTAAAATATAGTCAATTTATAGAATTATCTTTCTATCAAAGCATAATAATTTTAAAATAAACTCTGTTGACCTCTTAGAAAATCTAATTTTTTAGATTCTGATCGGCTATTGGATGGTTGGTGCACTCAGGCTGGTCCCGATTTACACGTATACTAGTACATAGGAAAAAATCTTATGTATTGGACTCACTGCACTGTGGCTAATGGGGTCAATGTCTATTTTTATGGAGATATTTCTTCATTTGTTAGTTCATTTTCCCGCTTTTGAAACCGTTTTTGATTTTTTTCTATAAATTCTTGAATTTCATTAAAATTCAATTTTCTGGAACATTTGGAAGTTATGGTCTATTATATTTATATTATATTGTTTGTAAAAAATTCGGTGCAATTCTTATATCTAGTAAATTTAGTTGATTTTATCTTATATAATTTATTATAAAATAATAACATACTATAATGTAGCGTATCAGCTGATTAAAAAAAAAATACGTATCCAAATAGTCAAATAGATATAAAAACCTCAAATTTAACATTTTTGCCTTATGGCATTATTGTAATATAACAGCGTATTATTTTATTGGCCATGACTAAAATGTACTATAATGCAATTTTTCTATGAAATGTAAGTGAATACCCAAAATCAACGTCAAGTCTAAAATAATTTGTTGTTGTAAATATGTGAATAGTTAATTATTATGATTTTATATATAGGGTGATTCATCGCGGCTAGGGATCACGTTCCTTTTTCTTTAAAAACGCAGTTATTCAAAATCTGATTTTCGGAATTTTTAAGTACACTTTATGACCATATTTTCATATTCTCGAGATTATTTGTACTGCTTAAGGTGTGCTCTGCGGAGGTTCAAAATTTTGTTTTATAAATGAGAAACCCCCTTTCTTACAGCATTTTTTTTCAATGGACAATTTTTCTGAAAATATAAACGCATCAAAATCAAAATTCTAAGAGATAGTTTTTGAGTTTTTTCAATTTTGTGTGCTAAATATAACAGGTCCATGGAAATGGTTTTAGGATATGAGGAAATGGGGATTTGAAAATTTTAGCAATTATTCAATCAACATTTATAATTTATAAAAATGATCCAACTATCCAAGTATAATAAATACTAGATTCAAATATATATTATGTATTTATATAGGTACTTATACATTTCAAAACAATTCTGTGATAAAACCAGTGCCTGATCATGGATATATTCTTCATTACCATTTGAGTGTGTACCTACACTTTCTACACAAAATACACAGAAGTGTTGATATAGTAAATAGAATATTAAAAACAGTGCGATAAAAATGTTGGTTATCATAATTTATTAATTTATTGCAAATGAAATAAGTTTTTGTTTCATCAGTCTGTGCGATATAACTATACAGTTCATATAATTTTATTAGTATGAAAATAATATCAATAATTATTACTTGCTTGCGTAATATTTTTACTAAGTAGTTGATAACCATAACATTGATGATTGATAGATAAATGATAACACACGTTCCTTGGCTATCTATTGTTTTTATTTATTTATTTGGTTGATATTGTGATGTGAATGGGTTTTAACCTGAAAGGGCGAGAGTACACTGCACTACCGCAGTACGAGTTAAAAAATAATGTTGGAGGTTTTTTTTACAATTAGATTTCTTTCCCCATCCCATTATTTTTTTTATACAAGCAAGCAATAAATAAATAAAAACTCAATATTAATATTACTAAATCAAGTGATAATACGAGTTTATTAGTTAAACAATATGCATGCCGCTACTATTATTACATTTTCATAATCTAAATTAACTCAAAATATTATAAACAATACCTAATTTTGTTTTTCCTTTTGATTTGCTTTGAATGAAGATCATTTAGATATAATTTACAAATGTGCAATATAATATATAAATAATATTTTTATATTAATTTTCTATATTTTCAAATGTATATGTATGCATACAGGTCGCCTGCATAATTTTATATAGATACATATTATAAATGTCAAAAGTTTAGAGGAATCTAAATTAATAATTTACATATATGTCAGAAATGTCAGAAATGTATGTAAAATAAAATTTGGAAGGACCTGTCGTGTATGTGTACTTATATATTTATGAATGTAGTGTGTCTCACTGGTGTTTGTATTTTTGAAAATTGATGGATATAATCTTTAAAAATAAAACAATACTCAATAATCAAAATAAAAAAGTCCGAACATCGTGAAACACCTACCTTTACAAATGTTTATTATGTATTTACTTTGTGTACTTATATATTAGACTTAAACTTAATGTTTTAGGCATTATACGTATCGGAATTATTTGTGTCAAAATATAAATCCCTCCGAAAACGCAATTCTTCAGCAGACGACATCGAAACTACAAATAATTTACAAACAACCGAACTCAAATAAATATGCACTAATGCTCCAAAACTGCATTTAAATTGTATGAGTATTCTTAATTATTTCGTTAATATATTGATTATAGTAAATAATTTGATTAAATTGTATTAAATGTCTTTATTTGTTTGACAAATAAATTATAATATTGTATGTTGGACAAAAGAATCATATGCATTGTGCATGCTAATTATATTTATTATTTTCATTAATTTTCAAATTAAAAACAGATAATTTTCAATTTTATTTTTTATTAATTTTACATTTTCCCTAACCATTAGCATTGGTTATAAATATAGTAAAATAGTATTTATAATCAATGCTATTAGGTATGGAAATGTACAGTTATTTAAAACTGTAATAATATGAAGTCAATATTACAAATTTATAATTTATTAAATTGTTTTTTATTTATACATTTTTCAAATATTTATATATTTAAAATATAATATAATATATTAATTTAATTTAATCATAATTATATATTGTGATCAATTTATTAACGTGGGTAGGTGTTTATATATTTTTATTTTTATTCATAAATGGAGTCCTCGTGATTTTGTGCAGCTTTTGTATAGGTGCTATTTTTTCATTAAACATTAACACTAAAAATTTTTTACAAGAATTAATATGGTTTTGGGTATTTCTTTTAAACCGATTCAATATTTTATTTATATTAAATTTTAGGCTACCATCACGTTTTATTAAATAAGACTAAAAAAAAATGCAATTTATTTATTTTTAAGCTGTGATTAAATAAAAGCACATTTTATATTATATATTTTATATATTTTGAATAATATATATTTTAAGAAAATATATTTCAACATAACTATATTAATATGTTCCTTCCATATAATTGTATACTTTTTGTTTGTTATAACGTCATTTATTAATTATTTTACTTAAAAAAAAGAGATCTGTAATTGTTGTTAACTGTTCACATTTAAAATAATAATAATATAATCAGCTTTAATTTTAATTAATATTATTACTAAGATTAATATTTTAGCATTAAATAATAAAATCAATTAATTTTTGTACTAATATTATTCATTAGGTAGTGTTTTATTTTTTTAATGTTTATTATAATGTGCGTTATTTTTAATATTATTAATTTATTCTATTTGGAATATAAATGTAATTTATAAATCTATTTTAGTAACATAGATCATGAACATTTGGATAATTGTTTTTATTGCCGTTATACACATTTATTGATCTGATAATTAAAATTGTTTTTATTTCCTACAAATTAATTAAATCAGAAATTTTAGTAAGAATGTATACATTATATTATTTTTTTCAAATCATCTAGTACCAATAAGTTTATTTCAAAGAAATATAACCACATAATAAATGAAATTTCATCCATATAGTTGAATTTTAAATGTATATTTATTGTAATGCAAGTGTTTATTAGTCTTTGGAAAAAAATGTGCAAGTAGTCCCATAATAAAAAAGAAAATTTGCTTTATAAAATGCACATATTCTGCCTATAAACACATAAACCTCAACTTCAATGTAACCTAGAGTATAGAGTTTCCATTCAAATCTTATTTATTTCTAGACCCCATGTAGAGAAAATATCATCTAGGCCTATAGGACATTGGTGTGTCCACACTCCACAGCCTAAAGAATATGAGAGTGGTAGCACCATGGGCAGCTGCCTCCTTAACAAGATATATAATCAACAGGCTCTTAACTTTCAATGGAATTATAGATTCTGAAAAATATGAATACCTTGTTTATCTGAAAAAGACTGCTTTGAGGAGCATATAAAGGAGTTGTGACAATCCCTTACACTAATTCAAACACATAATTACAGTTGACCATTGACTTATGAATAGATAATATATCAGATAAATATGATTAAATTTACCAATTAAAAGTTACAAATTATGAAAACAAAGATTGTATTTATTGAAAAAATCCTCTATTTCAAGCTTAAAGTAATGATTTTTTTTTACTGTCTTTTTAAATTATTATTAGTAACTATGAGCTCTAATGTAACTGTATAAGATGTAGAAAAAGTATTTTCTTTATTTCCAAATGTAACAGAATTTAAAACCACATTATGTGAGATAAATATTTTATGATTCCAAACTAAAAATTATAAAAGTAGCTAATGTTATGAACGTAGCCAATAAATTGAAGACTATAATTCTAATGGCTAATGCACATTGCCTCTTGGCATTATTACGATTAACATCATCGATTACCACAGCTTCAAATAAACAATGTTTTGACAGCCTCAAATAAATTGAAAAATAATTTAAGAACAACTATGAGTAATTCCAGCCAACAACATTTTGTTACCTATGTACAGGGCCGTATTACCGCTTAGGCTGTGTAGGCTACAGCCTAGGGCGGCAATTTTTTTTTTTGGTGTGACCCAAAAACTACGTAGAGATATTAGTAAAATATCAATACCTATGTAAATTAAGCGGTAAATTTATTTCAGCCTATGGGCGGCAAAAACCTTAATCCGGCCCTGCCTATGTATTAAATATACAGAACACGAAACGACACAATGAATTGTGAACCTCCCTGTACAGTCTTCCCTAGAACAGGTAGAAAATCATCTAGCATCTAGTATTATTTTGTATATAAACCACACTTTTTAAATGTCTAGAACTTTCAAAATAAACAAACCAACATATTTTACAACCTTTATTTTTTTTTAGTAGTATCTAAGGTATACAATCTATTGAGATAAGTACTTAAATGTAAATATGTAATTAAGAAAAAAGAAAAAATGACACTTCCATAGGTATTTTAGAAATTACAAATGTTCTATTATAAAAGATCATCTATCCGTAATTCAGAAGTTTTATTTTATTTTTATACAACAAATGAACAACACAAAATTGGTTTAGCTTTTCTAAGCTTGTAAGACGGAGAAGCACATCCAGGTGTGAAGTCCCCTTAACAATCAATTTCCATAAATATAAAGTAATTTTTAATTGTCTTTTTTAATGAATTTGCTCAGTATTTTTTTTTTTTAAACCATCAACATTTGAGCTAAAGTTATTTTATAATAGGATATATAATGTACCGAAGTGGTCTGGAATATAAAGTGATAAAAACATATTATTTTAATATTTATTATACTATATTACTATTTATTATACTAAAACCAACCAACATGATAAATGAAAGGAAGGGATAGAGACATATTAATTTAATCTGATTTATCAGGGCCATATTAATATGGATTATTATATTTACATACTATATAAAAGGGGTTCATTCAGTGTTTTTTTTTCAGGAGACGCAATGCAATAGCAGTAATCCCTAGACTAATTAAAGTAATAATTACTGTATAATATAATGGATTTGTATAAAGATATAGTTTTTGAAGTATTATTAGTTTCAATAAGTAAGATATTAAAATTCTTATAACAATTTTAAAATTAAATCTTTTTTAATTGTGATGATTTTTAATAATACAGTTTATATTGACATAAGTAATTTGTATGATTAATTTTTCTGTCAATAGTTGGGTTATTGGTCTTGGTCACATCGTCTCTTAAACCTATTTCTAAAGGATTTTTTTGTGATGACGAGACAATTAAATATCCATACAAGACATCAACTGTTGGGAAATCATTCTTATGTCTATTTTATCTTCTCCTACCAAATGTTTCGGTAAATATTTAACATATTTTCTACAAACGATTAAATTTTTTAAAATTAATTCATTGTTTTTGAACTTATAGAATGCTTATTAAGTCTTAAAATGATAATTGGTAGATATTATTATTTAATTATTGTAGTTAACCATTCATGTTAAACTTTACTAAAAATTTATGTCAATAAAACTGTTTTTATTTTTATAAATATATTTTGTTATTAGATGATTCTACATCATAGAATTAAACTACATTACAACAATTGTATACATTTGTATTTTTAGTTCTATACTTCTATGGCTTAATTAAATTAAAATATTACTTGTTCTTTCCATCAAATAGCATTAGAATAAAAGAATATCAATTTAATATAAACATTTAAATCACGTTCAATAATAATATTATTATATTATTATACATATTACATTTATATTCTATACTTAGTAAAGTACAACATAATTATTTATGACTTTATGAGTATTTTTGAATTTTAGATAACTCTTAAGTATTTCTGGACCATGCATAAAACCATAAAAAGCCTATACATAAACATAATTTATTTCTGGTTGGGTTCTGGATTAGCCCAAATAACAGTAAATCTGGCAAAATATTATACTGGACGTTTAAGACCTCACTTTTTTCATGTGTGTCAACCAAGTATTGATTGTACATCACAAAATCAATATATTTCAGAATATACATGCACAAATCCAGAAGTATCTATAGCAAATGATTCAAGGTAAATTATTTGAACTATTCAAGAAAATGTTTTATTTCACACTGTGTATGAAATACAAATATACTGAACCGCGTATTTATATCACATAAATAAAATTATTTCAGGGCATCTTTTCCATCGGGCCATGCATGTTTAGCATTCTATTCAACAGTATACACAATTGTAAGTGTATTAAAGGGCATATAATGGGTAAAATAACTAAAATAACATAATATGTAACAAAGAACTTTATTTTTTGCTTGTGTTTAAAAGTTGTACCTACACGATTATAAGAAGAGTGTAGCATGGATCATTATTCAATTTGCATTATTTTTATCTGCATGGTATACAGCTTTAACTAGAGTCACTGATAACATGCATCATTGTACTGATGTATTAGCTGGTTCAATTATTGGTACATCATTTGCTATTTTAATGGTAAATAATATAAATAATATTATTAATTATTATCAATAATAAAATTATTTACTCTACGTAAAAAATTAATCAAGCAAGTTTTATATAAAATAGATGTATGAAGTGAAGACACGGATATTTCTAGAAAACGTTAATGCAGACTGACATGAAAATAATTCAATGTATTTTTATTTTATCATATGTTTACATCATCAATGTTAAATATTATTATTATGTATTCTGTCATTGTCAAGTTGAGCTAGTTGCTTAAGAAATCCATCGTTAGGTCGTATATCTCTTGCTTTTTTTACTTTTTCCACCGCTTCCTTAGCTCTTAATCCTTTTTTTATCATTAAATAAGCGATTGTAATTGTTGCAGATCTTGAAATGCCCATTATGCAATGAACCAAAACTTTACCTACAAATATAGAGTTTATTGGGTGAGATAATATGGGTTTTTAGTTTTTTATCCAATATTTCAAGCTATATTTTAGTAATAATTAGTTAAAACTAACCTTTTTGAGATAGAGCGTCATCTATAAAATTTGATACGCTATCAAAATATTCATTTATTGCAACACTAGGATCATCACACAAAGCCAATCCCATGTATTGAATATTAAATGGACGATAAAACTGTTCATTTGTATCAACCATACCAAACCCAACACCTTGGGCTGCATTTACTACATGTGTAATACCCAGTGACAGCAATAAATTAAGATTTTTAGCGGTGTTCCTATAAAAAAAATTACAAGACTTAACATGTTGAAATAGGTAGGTACTTCATTAAATGTATCTACACTTACCAATCTCCAACATAAACTTTTGGACAAATTTCATTATAATCACATGTTGATAAATTTTTTTTTTTAGGAGGAGGTTGGGTACGTAAAAGAACAGCTTGTAGGTCCTCAAAAGTAACTTCTTTTATTGGATCTTTTTTACGAAACTTTGATAGTAAATATTCCATTTTTGACAACAAAGTATTTTATAATTTGTTAAAATCAATTGATAAAAGAAATTACCTACAAAATAAAATAAAAAATTATTATATAAGTGAATAACATTGTTTATTTGTATGTATTCCTTTCCATACTATATTTCTGCATCAATAATTAAGTGTAAAATAGTATCCATCACAAAAAAATCATTTATTTTGAAGTAAAATATGTAGGTAGTTATATCTTTTGCTAAATTTAATAGTTGATACATAATTTAGAGCTATATTTTTTTAATGATTAATTTTTTTTCCAACAAGTTGAACAACTAATCAGCGCTTAAATATTATAATAGTACAAATACATATAGTTTATAAGTATAAAGAGTTAATCCCTAATCCAGATGATTATCTTATAATACCAATGTGCAACTATTCTACGTTATAAAAAATGTATTATAATTTATAAATTATTTGAACAAAAAAAAAAAAAATTAAACATTATTACCTGTATATAATTTTTAAAAAGTAGCAATTTGATTTCAGTTTGAATTTTTAGTCTTTGAACCAAAAATTGATTCATACAACAAAAAAATCGAAAAATTGAATTAATATTAATATGTCAATGTAATAAAAGCAATTTTGTTTTTATTTGCTAAATTTATTTCAGCTATCATCAAAATCAGTTTTTATTTTTAAATTAAATCTACCAAGTGGTACTACCTTGACACTCTGTTATGTCAGTTGTTTTAAACTGTTATAAGAAATTATCTATTGTAAAACATTAATGTGTTGTACTGTTGTCAGCGCAATATTTGTTTCCTCCCTCATATCCATACGCAACATAGATAAAACCAGTGGCGACATTTCAATTTTTTATAGAGAGGGGCTAAGTTTTGACCAGCCCAAAAGGGTAACTTAAAAAATGACCATTCATGCGTCTAAATATATTCCAACTATTAATTAATCCTTGTGTGACAATAATTTCTTAGTACACAATATAATATTTTTTTTAATGAATATTATAAAAATAGGCATGTTTTTGAGCAAATAAAATATAATAATGGTTAAACGGAACCACTTTTAAAATCAAACCGGCCCAACTTGTCTACCCCAAAATGAAGCCACTATTTCACCTAAATTGTTTTTTTATGATGTTTGAGTTATCTTAGAGTAAAGTTACCTGTTACAAAAATTATAGAGGATAATATTTTGGAGGTTATAACATATCAGTTTTATATTTTATTATGTATTATTTGACTTTCAAAATAATAAAAAAAAATTGTAGATATAAATAAATCTATAAGTAAATTGTAGATATTCCAATTATGTTTAAATTGTTTTGAGACAAAACGACATTTAACTTAACAACATACCATCAAAAATATTATTTTCTATCGTTTTTGTGATGGGTGATTTTACTCTATAATTACTCAAAAACACAAAAAAAATTATTCTGTGTTAATGGAAAACTTAAGGAGAGGGAATACAAACAAGGCGCTTACGTCCTCTGATGTACAGATTGTAATTATGTTTTAATGATAAAAAAAATTAAATCTATCCTATGAGATTATCCAAGTAGAAGAAGTATAATATACCTACATAAACCGAGTGATTCATTTAACGTTACATTTAACACTCATTACACAAAAAGTATTAATGTTTTTGAAAATATTTTTCTACATGATTTCAAGTTGTTAGAAAACTTTTTAAAATTAATTTAAAAATGTTTTTAACAATCATAATTTTTTGAGTTTTTTACTTTGTTTAAATTAAATCATACAGTTTTAATTTCATATTTGATAGCAGAATATTTTTCTGAATATTACATACTACAATATTTAAGAATCAAATATAGGACGAGTAGTTTAGGTGTTATAACGAGTTATAATGAGTGTTCAATGACAGAAGAATCATAAAATATTACTTGAGGAGTGTCTTGTACTCCTGTGGCCACACAAATTTCTGTTTCACAAATGAGAACTGTCTCTTCGAATGTAAATTTTTTACCAGATAATTTTTATTCAATAGAATCAACATTTTGAACAAGTAGTTTTTGAATAATTTAACTTACACAAAGTGTAAAATGTGTATTAAAGATTATATTATGTCCACGATAGTGGGTTTGAAAAATATGGAGACAATGGTAATTTAAGAATGTTTGGAAATTGTAATTAGTATTAATGTATTAACATTAACAATTTGTAAAAATGGTCGAAGTGTAATAAATGCTAGGTCCAATAAAACATCTATTCCATACATGTAAAACAACTTTTAAGGATTATTAGCTTTAGAACAAACATTTTAATAACTGAGAAATTACTTGTTCAAATTTTTCATAAAACTCATCAACATTTTTAAAAAAATTATCCACTAATTAACTTACAGTAAAAAAGGTGTTCTCATTTGAAAAAAAAAATTTGTATCACCACAGGACTAAAGTAAAGTAAAGAGGTACAAAAAAATTAATATTTTGTCTGAGTATATTTTAAAATTTAAAAAATCAGCATTATTAATGGAAAACATGAGAGTAGCATGCTTGGTAAATCACTCTGTACATATAAATATAATATAATATGACAAGTATGGCATAACATCATTACCTAGATAAATATTAACTTATTAACTAACTAAATTTTAATGAAACCAAAATAATTTTTGATTATGACTCGCAGTTAAGATTATAATTCAAATAATTTATTATTAAAAACAATTTCCTATGTTAAAGATAATTAAAATGAATATATTAAATTACATTTATCTATTAGTCTGAAAATGAAAGATTTTTAATCGGTTTCATGAATCAAGTTTATAAAATCATTAATTAAATGAATGTAGATAGTTTTAAAAAGTTTAATCTATAAAAATAACTTATAAATACAGATAATAAAGATACAAATTACTGACAATTACCAATACATAAACCTACATTTATTTTGGCTTAACCGGCTAAATGTGTATATTATTGATCATATGATATACCTTATAATAAAAATAAAAACATATTAATTGTAAATCAAATATTATAAATTGTAATTATAGTATAGTAAAATAATAAAAGACAAATAGATTCTTCTAGAGAGCCTTGATATATCTCATCATTATAGACTCTGTAGCTTCTTCTGAAAAGGGCTATTATTTGATTAAAAAGATTGATATTAAAAACAAAATGTAAGATACCTACTGTGTAAGTTGTTTGTTTATGACTCGTTACAATAACATAGTGAATTGTGAAATTGAACTTTTTTTTTTTATATTAAAGTATTCCTTCGCGTAAATAAACATGCAAACGTTTTAGATAATATTATAATTGACGATAATTAATATGGATATTTTTTACGACGACATTGATCATATTATGTACAACCGGTACGGGCAATTGAATTACTGCGGCCAGCCGGGTAACAGATATGGTCGACAATATTGGATTACGTAGGTGTTTATTATACATGGGGATACACAGTACACACAGAGTGTTAAATTCTAAGCGGCACGTTGAATGATGAATGTCGTGTAGAGCTCTCTGTCACAAATTATCGCGAACGTTAAATCAACGTAATTCGATATTATATTTAAATTGTTATCCTCGTTCGTAAAAAAAATAGCAACTAAATAAAAAGTGAACTGGACACAAGCAGCAGCGGCAGTCGATGCAGCCTGCAGTTAAGTTCGAAGGAAGGAGTAAGGAGATTGCAGTTAGTTAGCACTTCAGTCAGCCCGCGCCCCGCAAGTTCGTGATTGATAAAAGAACACAAAAATCATGATAGGTATGTTTATATTTTTATAGATAACTCGGATAAGTCGGTGTTCGACCCGATATGATTGGTCGGTGGAAGAGGACAGCAGCTGGTACGAGCACAGATAATATTATATCACATTGTTATCTACAACCGTTTACCACGGTCGCGGAATGGAATAAATTGATAAACCCATTCTGTGGTGGTACCATCGAGTGTATATATATATAATGTACTAATATATGTATTGTATAACACACACACACACACTCACACGTAAGATATGTACTTACATGAGGATATTTTACCGATACGGCGGTACGGCGACGAGTGACGAGATATGCCGCCTTACGGATGATGAGTGTTGAAAATTATTGTAGGACTTATTTACTAAGACATCCAGTACAAGATGTGAACGACCGACAGTTTTATTATTTGAATAGTAATAAAAAAATAAAAATAAAAAGTATTTGTAATGTTAGGTAGTATTTAATCACAGGATTATGAGTGTAATAATTCTAGTCATGACTGCAGTGATACAATTACAATCGTAGTAATAATGAATATTTTATAGTTTTTTTTTTCATATTAAAACAAAAAAAACGACACAATGTGTTTGGTGCTCAAGTACGTGTTTATACTATTATGGCTTATGTACACTTTTGCCTCCATTATACTTCTATTCAGCAAGGGACTATTGCTGCACAGGGATGTGTTACCCAACAAGTCGATCTGCGAAACCGATGTTGATTCTCTTCAAGAGTTGACACAGAATTGTACAAAAACCAATACAAAAGTGGTGATGATAATTATTGATGCATTGCGCCATGATTTTGTCTTTCATTCTGAACAGGACATGCCGTATACAAACAAGATTACTGTGTTCAGGGACATACTAGCCAGTTATCCAAAACAGTCAAGATTATACAAGTTCATTGCTGATCCCCCTACCACGACTATGCAGAGATTAACCGCTCTCACTACTGGAAGTTTGCCTACTTTTATAGATGTTGGGTCAAATTTTGCAACTGAAGAATTATTTGAAGATAATGTTATTGATCAATTAGTGAATAATGGAAAAAAAGTTGTGTTCATGGGAGATGATACCTGGGCAAATCTGTTTCCAAAAAGATTTTACAGAAATTATACATATCCAAGTTTCAATGTTTGGGATTTGGATACTGTTGATGAAGGAATCAAGAAAAACTTATATCCTGAAATTGTAAAAGATGATTGGGATGTGTTGATTGCTCATTTTTTAGGAGTTGACCATTGTGGTCATAGATATGGACCAAATCACAAAGAAATGGAAAGGAAGCTTAATGAAATAAATGTAGTTTTGAGGTGAGAAGTTTTCTTAGATCTAATGGACTATATTTATTACTGCTTACCTAGGTTGAATATATTAATACTTTAATTTAAATTTCAGAGACATATTAAAAGAAATTCTTGGTCGTGAAAATATCATGCTTTTTGTGTTTGGTGATCATGGAATGACATCAAATGGTATGTGAATGTATAATTTTTTCATTTAAATAAGTGTTATTTAATATTTATGAAAATAATTTCTGTGTATTTTTAGGTGATCATGGGGGAGAATCTGAAAATGAATTAACATCTGCACTTTTTGTATTGTCATCATCTCAAGAATTACAACCAAAAACAGAAATTGATATAAAACAAGTTGACTTAGTACCTACTATATCAACATTAATGGGTGTTCCTATTCCATTCTCAAATATTGGATCTCTTATTAAATCAGCTTTACCACAAGACTTCCATTTGGTCAATAGTATTTGGAGAAACGCTAAACAGATCAATGATTATCTTACAACTTACTCGTTACAAAATGATGAACTTAACGATAAGCATATTCATTTCATTAAAGATACATTCAAAATGTTAGATATTCAACATAACACATTTGTGAAAAGTTGTGAAAATTTTATGCAGTTAAGTAGAAGAGCATGTGAAGAAGTTTGGATCCGTTTTGACGAAAGTTCTATTTATAAAGGTTTAGTCCTAATGTTTGTATCATTATATTTCAGTTTCTTACTTGTTGGCTCATCTGCTTTAGATCATTATGATAAAATCACAGGAAAGCAAGTGCTCATTATGTTTTCCATAGTTGTTCCATTGAATTTAATCGCATTTCTATTTTATTTTTATAAGATAATTCATATAACTGTCGTATTTTTTGTTACTGGGTTTATAGGTACTATTTTTCTTGCTTTATTTTGTGTAGCTTGTTGGTCATCATTAACACAAGATTTTCTTAATACAAATAAACCCGACAAAATTTTGATACGTATATTTACTGTATTAACTACTCTTGGATTTTTTTCTAATAGTTACATCATTGAGGAATCATATGTATTGCATACATCATTTGTTCTTTTACTATGGTATCTAGTTGTCAGATTTAAGTTAGAAAACAGAAAAACATGGTTTCGTAATAAAATAAAACCTAAAAACTTTTCACTTAAGCATTGGATCACATCATTAAACTGCAAAGTTGTGTGGTGTTCAATTCTGTTGTGCATTATATTGCGTTACTCTCATTCATTTTGGAAATGCCGAGAAGAACAAGGATGGTGTTTTGAAGATGGAGCTCAAACCAAAACTGGAAATTCAATCATTTCAATAGTACTTATAGTAATTTCTGTGACTATTGTTCATAAGTCATTGAAATGTTCCGGAAATCTAACAGGATGTTCTTTAAATGTTTATTTGTCTTCAATTTTGCCAAGAATATTTACTGTACTGCTGTCTGTTCATTGGATATTTGATTCTTCATTTCAACGTGTCAAGCATACTATACCATATGTGGCCTACATACCAAATGTTATTATATTATTAACTGTCATACTAATGTTGACATTATTTGTAAGCCCATTACTTGTTCACTATGTGGACTTACAAGAAGGAAAAGCTAATACTCAATCAGAGAATTTTTATCAACTGGTTTTCAGAATAGCAAAAAATATTGTAAAAATGCAGTTAGGTCCGCATATTCAAGGTTATCCTATAGTATATGGACTCGCCACAGTTTATAGTGCAACATTTCTGATATTTTCTATATTGTTATGTATTTTTGGAGGATTACTATTTGGATATGTATATGCAGTGTCAGTAGTTATCATGATTATTTCCATCTGGATAATGGCCATGATTGTTTCGGTCATAAGGCATAATCAATGTACAAAAATCAGTTAGTATTTATGTATTATTTTTTACAGATTGTTCATCATGCATGTTTATGTATAATATTTTTAAGTTATCAAATTCACAATGAAAATTAAATTAATTTTCTACATAATAGCATATGAACATTTTGTAGGTTTGTGATATTTAGTATATAACTGTGTACAAATGATTTGTAAAAATTTTTATAGATGAATTATATACAGTAAGCTGGTTATATATTTTGCTGTGGACTTTATCATCATCATACTGGTTCTATGGTACTGGACATAATCCTTCTTTCCCTGCAATACACTGGAATGCTGCATTTGTGTTACAATCAAATGTAGAAAATAATACATGGCTTCCTGGATTTTTTATTTTAGCAAACACATTTTTTTCACATGCCGTTCATGCATTTTTATTGCCGGTAATTTATAGACAAAATAATATAAGTTTGATTTGTTATAAATATTAATTTTTTAAATGAATGTTAGTATGTTTTAAAATAAACTTGTCATTCTAAATACACTGAAATAGATTTCCAATGTGGAAAATAAGAATGTATTTGAAATTTTTAATACAATATTCATAAATTCATAATTTTAAGCTTAAAAACAATCAACAATAATTATTCAAAATATTTATTCAAAAGTGTATTATGTTTGAGTTATATAATATTTTTAATTATAGCTACTATTAATATGTCCATTCGCTATTCATGGTGCTTGGTCAGGAAAATCATTGCCACCCAAAGATGAAGATGAACAAACAATGGCTAGAGGTGAATTATTATTAGCTGAAAAGTCAAGACAGATGATACATGGCGCTTTTGATTTAACTGCTAAATATATTCTTGCTAATTGTTTCAGGGTAATTATTAAATAAATATTACTTACTTAAATTTTGAATGTTTGATTAATTAATTACAGAATTTAATAATTTCTTTTTTTTTAATATTAGGTGGCTATGGTCATGGCGGCAGCTACCATTCATTCACGTCATTTGATGATGTGGAAAATTTTTGCTCCAAAATTGATATTCGAAGGAATAGCACTATTTATAACATTGCCTTTTTCTTTTTTTGGATTTATTCTTATGTATCGTGTAACTCAACACATAAATGTGTTATTTGAAAGAATTATGTCACAACACTCAAATTAATTTTTTGTTGTTCATTCTTTGACTGTTCAATATCTAAAAAAAATCCAAATAATGTTTTAACTTTAATTTAAAATTAAAGTAACTTCTCAAGTAATTTAAGTAATAATTTTTAATAATTCTAGATTCATTCACATGTATGTTACAAATATATAAAAATATAGTAAAAGGTAATTTCATTTGTAATTTAGGAATATCAGAGTCTTATCTAATATTTTAGTACTACAGTTCATAGTAGGTACCTTATATTTATAGAGCTTGACCAGTTTATCACATTTCACATGTTTGATTTTGTTTTGATGTTTTGTATTAATTTGTATGTTTTTTTTAGTTTTAATATATAAGCCATGACTGATTGTAAGTAGATATAATAAAATCATTCTTTGAGTAGTTATGTATGTATTGTTTTTTTTTAAATTCATTTATAAGATTGACACTAAATTTCTACTGTAGCATTATTGATACCTCTCTCTTGCACTAAGGGCTATGCTATAATCATTGTACCCAAATGTATTGGTCTTTAGCAGCTTCTTTTAGTGACTGGTAATCAGCTCTATTGCTCTAAATCTTTTTCTTGTCTTACCATGTGTTCAAGATATTTTTTTTTAGTATATACATTTTTGATGATCTTTTTTTGGTTAATATT